CTCCTCCTCCTCCTCCTCCTCCTCCTCCTCCTCCTCCTCCTCCTCCCCAGCCTCTCTGGACGTTCTTCGCCTCGCGCGTTCCCTCTTCCCTGTGCCTCGCTGTTCTCCGGCGCGCTTCGCCGCTGCTCGACCGCCGCTCGATCCTCCCGCGGCCGCTGGCTAAGAAGTATCCGGTCGACTTTCTATTCTTAGAATTCGTCAGCGTGCGCTAGCGTCTGGTAATCCACGAGGGGGCGCTGATTTGTAGCGTCGACTGCCGTCGATTGAGCGCCGACTAGTGTCGATTCACTTCGTCCAGCGTCGACTGGCAAGAGCCAGCAAGAGGGCTTTCAGGAGCTGCCACCGAAGATGGTTGATGCGATGTACCCAGACCCCCCCGCGTCGTGAGCAGAATCAAGGTGGACGTGTTTAGCTGTCTTCGGCCCCTTTGGGGCCTTCTCCGGGCCCCAGGACCGTCACATAACGGTCCAGGATGAAACGCCGTCCCACGGAATGTGACGAGACCTTTGGGGGCCCACGTCATGAGACACTCACGACGCTGGGGATCTGGGAACATAGGGTCAGGAGCTTTGGCCTAGCGTGGCGCTCCGGCGGTCCGAGCCCACCATGCCTCGAAGCGTCAATAGATTCCGCGTGCCCGGGCGTCAGCGCCCCGGGCCCTTCCTCCTCCTCCTCCTCCCCTCCTCCTCCTCCTCCTCTCTCCTCCTCCTCCTCCTCCTCTTTCTCCTCCTCCTCCTCCTCCTCCTCCCTCCTCCCTCCCTCCTCCTCCTCCTCCTCCTTCTCCTCCTCCTCCTCGGCAGAGCGAAACGCGATCAGCCCAGAGCAGGGCATAGCGTGCAGCCCGTGCTGCCACCGCGACGCGCTAGGCAGCAGTTCCCGCCCGTAGGGCCCACACGGTGCCAAGCCGATCTGCGATTTTCCGGCTTTTCGCTCTCGAGAGGGCGCTGCGGTCGCCATTTTTCATGGCGCCAACATCGCAGAGCGGATGTCGCTCAGAAAACGATGGGTTGGGCCCCGAGTGTCCTGAATTTCGTTCCGGATTTCGATGTGAATTTCGTTTTTTTGATGCCAGGAATGAAGACTAACACAGATCCACGCGAAGATCACGCTGTTTTTCGCTCGCCATGTCGGGGCGTTGCGCTGATAGAAATCCGCGCAGAAATCCGCGCAGAAATCCTCTGAAGCACGTCTGCAAGGTCGGTGCAGTGACATTTTGGCGGGCCTGCTCCCGCCGGGTCTGGTCCCAGGCAGTCTTCACTAGAGGGTGTCTTGCTAAAACCCCGCCGGCCAATTCGCTAGTTAGTGCCCCTATCTAGCTTCTCGCTGGAGCGGAGTTCGCCAACTCGCCGCTGACGGAAAAAGTGTTCTGCCAAAATGGGTTCTGTCAACCCCCGAGGGACACGAAACAAGCTGGGACACTTGTTTTTTCGCCATCTTCTGCCTGTGTCCGGGGCGGGAATTTATACATGTCCTCCGCCCGGAGGATCAATTTCGGAGGGCCTCTGCAAGCGGCGCATAAGGATATATTTGGGCCCCGGGGAAGCAGAATATATCCATATCCGCCGCCCGCTGGGGCACCAGGACGTCGGTTCCCAGGCGGTGGAGATGGATAAATCCCACCCTCACACTCTGGAGGCTTGGAGCAATAATAAGCACGAGGAGCAACCACACAACACTGCTTAATTGGAGAGCAGATCGTTTTATAGAGGCAGATTCTGGGCCCGAGGGCTTTCGAAAGCACCCCCAGGATGATGCGCTGTGACCCCTGGGAGAGTCGGGCCGAACGAAAGGGGGGGATAGGGAAAAGGGGGGGTACGAAATCTGCAGCATGCAGCCGGTTTCGGCCCCGCCGCCGGGCCCATTCCTCGATACATGGGCGCCTCCCAGCCGCGGGAGACGCTGGGAAAGTCAGCTGCGGGAGCTGATTCTCAGACCCCCCCTTTGCTATCCCCCCCCTTCGTCAGGAGCGAAAGAAGGACGTACATGTACATGAATCCACGCTGGTTTCGAGAGTACGCCTTGCGCAAATGTTCGTATGACGCGGCCGGTCTCGCGGATCGAGGGGCCGTGTTCATCTACATAGCTGGGCCCGATTTCGCCTATTTCGCCTGGCCCGATGCATGGGCGCCCCCCGGCGCCGGGAGGCGCCGGACAAGTCGGCCACGGGAGCCGATTCCCTGCCCTGCCCTCTGCGGTCCCGCCCCTTCGTATTCCCCCCGGGCAGGGGGCCCCAGGGTCCGAGGTCCTCGTCACGAAGGCCGAGCCCGCGGGTGTCCATGGGGACGTCGGAGGCAGCACGCGAGGGCGTGCAGTGGAGGCCCACGCCAAGAGACACCCCGCTTGCCTCCAGGGTGGCCTGGGTTTCTCTTGGGTTTCGATGGTTTTGCCGTGGAAGGCGCGATGCTCCCACATCAACAATCAGTGGACGTCCTGGGGTCTCAGGGTTGGGTGTCTTGTGGAAGGCTTCTCGTGGTCGGGCCCCTACTGTATGCACTGTATGCGCCCGCATGCTGTGCCTACCCATCAGACTTTTACAAGCACAGTCAGTTGTCATCCACTCACTGATGTGCGCGAGCATGACTGCCTCTGATGTTATTGCGCACGCGGCGTCGGGAGGACTGCACCAGCATCGCTTGTTCGCCACCTCGCGCGGCGTGGCCAGATCATCAAGAAGAGACAGACCTTGAACCTACAGAAGAACAGCCAGACCTTCAGTCGTCACGATGCTCCGCTGCATCTTGAACCTGGTGCCCTCCTGTCATTTCGACTCATATTTCCTTTTTGCACCTACAGTTTCCGCATCTATAGTTTCCGAAGCCTCGTGCTAAACTTCTCCATGGAGCTCAGTGTCTGGGTTTCGCACTACTCGTTGGCACGGAGGCGTGGCAGGACACTGCAAGAGCGGGGTGTAGGAGGGGAAGCGATGGGGCACAGGAGAGGTGAGGGCGATGGGACACTAGGGGAGATGACAGGGGGAGATGCATCGCAGGGAGAACCATGACGTCTTCCTGCTCTTCCTCCGCCTCATCAGCGTTTCTCCTTTTCTTGGCCTCGTCCTCCTCGCCCTGCCCAACTGTACCCGTGCTCACTGTAGCTCCCTATCTTCGACAGGCATGCGAATTTCACTACAGCCGACCGGGCGTAGAACCGACATTAACATCTATGAGCTGCAGCATGCCGTCTGATAGCCACAGAACTTAGCCCAATTCAGAGTTTGCATCGCACAAGCATTGGCATAGCAGACATGCGGATCGCATAATGAAAACGGGCACACTACGGTTACAGCAGGATTCGAAGCAGCCCGCATATACGCCTTGCTCAGCCCGCCCTCATTTAGAAAGTGTCGGGCCCCTCTGCGCCGCCCCAGACAGTCATCACACCTTCCACGCGGGCAACACATCAGCGGATGCTACGCCAGCAAGGGGTCTCTCACGATCGTGATGATGGGGTTCTGGGCTTCTCCTTCCGTGCTTGGTCGGCGTCAGCGCCTGTTTGCGCCTGGGCGTCCATCGATCCGCGCGGCTGGCCCGGGAACACGGCAACGCGCGGCCGTGCCGACGTCTCTGTGGCGCCCCGCACCTCCTCCGCTCCTCGCCCACTCCAGACCGCCAGCGCTCGTCCACTCCAGACCGCGGCGCCCTTGGCATCGCTCGGACGTGTGCATTTTTCCTTCGGTGAGGACCATCGAGGAGCATCCTTGGTCATTTGGCGAAAAAAACCACTCACGAAACCGAAAAAAGCACAGGGAATGGACGTCCGAGCGATGGCCAGCGCCGCGCCTCCACCGCAGCTGCACACCGGCACCGACCCCCCGGGCCGGGTCGACCCTGGGCCACTGATCGGTGCGCGTGTGCCCTCCCGCCCAGGCGCCGGGAGGGCGTGTATGCACCGATCCGGGGCCCCGGGCGAGCCTGGCCAGGATCGGTGCGGGTGTGCAGTTGGCGTCCTCCTGAGCTTTTCGTCTTCGTCCCCTCCTCGCCGACAACTCGCCCACCTCTCGCCCACCTCGAGGCTGTTTTTCCTCCATATCCTAAGGATGGGGTTCTTGTTATTATTTTGAACGCGCGGAGAACGAGAACACACCTTCCACCCTCAGGTCATGAATTCCTGACTCACTCACACGTAGAGTCACTCATATTCAGACTCATTCATAATCAGATGCACTCTCTCTTAGATTCCTGATACTCGGGTTTCTCATGCTCGGAATCACTCATATGCAGACTCACTCACACTAAGACTCACTCATGCTCTGCCTCGCTCTTCCCCACTCAGACTCAGCCACACAACTTCCGCGCACAGACTCAAACGCACGTTGTGAAGATGTGTTTCGCACCCAGACTCACCAACACTCAGACTCACTCATACTGAAACTCACTCATACTCTGATTCGCTCTTCGCCACCCAGAGTCAGTCACACCACTTCAGCGCTCACTCACTCACTCACTCATTCACTCACACACACACACACACACACGTTGTGAGAATGTCTCGGGCGAGGCGCTGGTTTCAGCACTCCCAAGGGGGGTGCGGCAGGGGTCGGGACACTCCAGGATTCGCGCCCAGATAGTGGGGCTGTCTCAGGCGGTTTGCCTGTTTCGGTGCCCAACATCTTTTGCTTTCGGAGCAGTTGCTGAGGATGTCTCAGGCGAAGCGCTGGTTTCAGCACTCCCAAAAGGGGGGGGCGGGGGGGGCGCAGGGGTCAGGACACTCCAGGACTCGCGCCCAGATTGTGGGGATGTCTCAGGCAGTTTGCTTGTTTCTGTGCCCAACATAGCTTGCTTTCGGAGCCGTTTCTGAGGAAGGTCTCAGAGCGAGAGGAGGTGGAAAGGAGGTGGAGGAGGTTGAGCTGAAGTAGATTGCGAGATGAGGTGGAGGAGGTGCCCGCAGGGCTCAGGATGAGGTGGAAGAAGTGGAGGAGGTGGCCGCAGGGTTCAGATTGCGAGAGGAGTTTGAGGAGGTGGAGCTGGAGTAGGAGGTGGTGAAAACGGAACTCGTAACTGGGGAGGGATGGCGAAGAGGAAGGAGCAGGACTAGGAGGAGAAGGTGGAGGAAGAGGGAGGAGGAGGAGGAGGAGGAGAAGGAGGAGGAGGACGGATGTGGAAAGAGTAAGAGGGTTCTCGCCGCCTAACGGGCAATTCGATTGGCCGAGGCCAGAGGATCGAGGTTCGAGGCTTCTGACTCGAGCTTCGCTGCTCTAGATTTTCCAGTATTTTTGCATTGTTCGAGTTTCCTTGGCATTCATTGTTCGAGTTTCCTTGGCATTCTCGTCTTCACGGTTGGATTATCCGGACAGGTGTTCAGAGGAAAAGAAGGAGAAAGAGGAGGAGGACAAGGAGGATGAGGAGGAAAGAGGGAGGAAACGCCTAGTTCAAGTCGTTGTAGTCGTCGGCGTCTCTCTCGGCTTCGTCTTCCACATGGATTCGCTGACGCCCAGATATTGCAGAAAGACCATGTCTTCTACCGAAGCATGCCATCACTATGAGATGCACACATGGGGATCTTCGCGTCGAGAAATTGATCCTCTGGCGCGTAGCGGTCGTTGCCCGGGCCCTGCCCCCTCCCACATGCTTGGGCTCGCGAGCATGCTGTGGCGATCGCAGCGCACCCCCGCCTCGACGTGCCCCGTTCCCGCCCAAGCGTTACACGCATGCCTGGCCAAACGTTACAACTATGCCTGGGGCCCCCGCCCTCCCCCCCCCCCCGAGGAACGTCCGGTGCCTGGAATAGTAGAAACGCCATCGCCTCTTTGTGCATCGTGCCAGAGCTCCGTCCAGCCATATCGCCCTCCCCCCCCAGCCTGCCGCCCGCCCAGCGCCTGCAGCCCGCGGGCCTGCACGCGCGCGGCCCGCGCCAGCTATTGGCAGGCCGGGGTGCGGCTCTGGCGAGAGTAGACGGGGGGGAGGATGGAGAGGAGCATGGCGAGGCAGCTGATGAAGATGATGAAGATGATGCTGCTGCTGACGGTGGTGACGAATGGTGTCGATGGTGATGCCGATGATGCCGATGATGATGCTGACGTTGATGGTGGTATTGCTGATGCTGATGTTGATGCTGATGACGCTGCTGTTGATGATGATGGTGGTGTTGATGGTGCTGCTGATGCTGCTGCTAACGATGCTGCTGATGCTGCTGCTGATGATGTCAGTGATGATGATCAGATGCTGATGATGTCAATGATTAGGATGATAATGAGGATGCGGATGATGAGGATGATGTTGCTGATGCGGGCGATGCTACTGATGTTGTTGATGCTGGTGTCGGTAATTATGTGGATGGTGCTCATGATGATGGCGAGTTTGATGATCATTAGGATCTTGATCGTGAAGGCGACGATGATGATGTGGATGGTGGTGCTGATGCTGATTATTGTGCTAATGATTTTGGGGGTGATGATGTCTACAACAGCTGCGCCGATAACGATGGTGATGATAATGCCGATGGTGTCGACGAGGAGAGTGAGGATGATACTGCTGCTGGTGATGCTGATGATGAAACAATGCGGATGAAGATGAGGATGATGGCGAAGTGGAGGTGGAGGAGGAGGAGGAGGAGGAGGAGGGGGTAATGAATAATACCACGATGGTGGCGATGATGATGATAATGATGATGTTGATGGTGATGCTGATGATGATGGTGGCGACGGGGCTGCTGATGTTGCTGCTGCTGATGATGATGATGAAACTGGTGATGATGGTCATGATGCTGATGCTGCTGCTGATGATGATGATGGTGTTGGTGGTGGTGATAATGGTGATGGGGATGGTGATGATGATGCTAATGGTGATGATGCTGATGATCATGATGCTGATGCTGCTGGTGATGATAATGGGTTATATGATGAAGATTAGGGGGATGACGATGTCTCCATCGTCGTTACAACAGTATTATTTGGCCTGCATGCAAGATGATTGGCCACTGGCGGAGTAGGCGGAGTAGAAGTTGCTTCGCGCAAACATGCATCCCGCTCCATTTTGCATGCCAGTGTGGGCGACGTAATTTCCGATCCAGTTTTGGGATACGAGGGTTGTGACTGGATGGGGGGCCCGAATTATGCTGCGACGCAGCAGGTGCCACCTGCGCATGCTAGGAATCTTCAGAGGGATGGGCGATTCCAACACTATACCAAGCCGCTTACACTTTCGTCACGACAATGTGTGTGTGGATAATGCTGATGGGCGTGGAGATGATGATTATGGTGATGGTGATGGTGGTGGTTATAATGATGACGATGCTGATGCTGCTGCTGATGATGATGATGATGACGATGATTATGATGATGATCCTGATGATGATGATGATGATGATGATGATCCTGATGATGATGATGATGATGATGATGATGATGATGATGATGATGATGATGATGATGGAGCTGATCATATTGAACCTGACGGTGGGGGTGAGTCTGATTGTGACGACGACGACGATGACGAGGATGACGACGATTACGATGTCGATGCTGTTGGAGGGAAGTCGATGGTGATGATGATGCTGATGTTGTGAATCATGAAGATGATGGCGCCGATGGTGTCGACTGTGGCGACGACGGTCATGGTCATGTTTATGATGATGACGACGGCGGGAAGGCAGACGAGGAGGCGGACTGAGGAACAGCAGAAACAGGAGGATTTGGAGATGAGGAGTGGGGTACGGCGAGGAGGAAGGGGATTGTGAGGGGAACGAGAGTGAGGGGGAGTAGGAGGAGGAGGAGGAGGAGAGGAGGAGAAGGAGGAGGAGGAGGAGGCGACCTCTTCCTCGTGTCGTTTCCTTCCGTCGCTCCTTCCACTGTGCAGCAAGTACATGCCATTCTAGACGCATTGCGGGACGATTCTCCAGGGAGTCCAGCAAGGGCGGCATCCAACTGGACTTGTGTGCCCGCAGCTGCGAGGCTTCGAGGGGGAGGAGGCGGCGGCAGCAACACAATTTTACCTCAGCGGGCGCCAGGTGGCCCAAAACCGTAACACGTACGCCGGTCGGCAACCGGTGGGAGACACCAGGCGCGAATGGAGGCACAGAGGCGACAGGGACAGAGCGCGAGATGGCGGGGGGCAGCAGGACAAGCAGCAGCACCGCCGGCATCCGCGGCAGCGGCGGCGGCAGGCGCTCGGCCGCTGCGGCGGCGGGCAAGCGGCGGGAGGAGGGGGCTCGCCCTGCGCCGCCCAGGCGCCGCGCAGCGCCACTTCGGCGCCCGCGTGCGGGCGGCGGGCCCCACCGAGGGGGCCCCGCCGGTCGTCCAGGCGGCCACGGCTCCGGCGGCGCGACCACCGTCGTCCTCGTCGGCGGGGCGGGGTCGTCGTCGGCGTGGTGGTGGTGGTGGAGGTGGTGGTGGTGATGGTGGTTGTGGTGGTCGTCGTCGTCGTCGTCATCGTCGTCGTCGTCGTCGTCATTGTCGTCGTCGGCGTGGTCTTCCGTCTCCGTCCGTCGTCGTCGTTTTCCGTCGGTGGCGTCCGTCGGCGGCGGCGGTGGGTCGGTGGGTGCGGCGGCGGTGGACGGCAGAGTGTGTGTGTGGGGGGCGGCGGTGAAGTAATGGAGAGGCGGTGAGGAAGGGGATCGACGAGGAGCAGGAGGAGACGAGGGAGAGGGGGAAGATGACGAGGGATGAGGCGCGCGGGGAGGGCCTCCAGAGGAACAGTCCATGGCCTGTCATTACTTCTCTGTAAACGGTGTGCTCTGAGAGCGCACTGATGGCTCCGGCGGTCGCCGGAGCGCACAGGCCCGTGCGCCCCCACGGCAGGACGAGGGCACTGGCCCTCCTGCCACTGGGGGCCCAGGCGCACCAGTCGCGAGCACGGGGGTGCCGCTGCTGCGTGCCTGGGAATATGAAAGATCAGCGAGCCCCACGCCGGGACCAGTGAGGGAAGAGAGGGAAGCACGGGGGAGAGGGCAGCGGCAAGGCAGCGAGACAAGGGACGACAAGGGGAGAAGGTGGTCCCGGCGGGTCCGCGCCGTCGCATTACATGTTCTGTATATGTGCGAGCACTCGCTGCAGAATTACACCGTGTGTGCCTGTGCATTCATTACTGTACAAGCGTGCGAACTGGCGCAGCTTCTCAGTAGTGGCCCCACGCATGGCGGCTGCAACACATATGGATTTCTTGGATGGCGCAGAAGGAGACGACGCAACCTGACTCATCTCCCCTCTTCCTTGTTGATGAACCCTTGGATTTTCTGGTTGAGGTCCCCCGGAGGGGCAATGCCCGTGAGCGCTGCGCTGCCAGTGATCGTCAGCATGTCCGCCTTCATTATCATGTAGATCTCATAGCTGTCGCTCGGCTCCCGAACGTTCACCTCGAGGCGCCTCAACTCGCTGTCGTGCATCTTTTTGAGGCGCACGAACTTGACGGTCTCCAGCAGCTGCCCGACTTTCCTTTCCTCGGGGCAATACTTCTCCACTGTCTCGAGATCGCTCTGCTTGCCCGCCGCGGCCAGGCGGCTCCGTAGCACTCGTAGCAGGGCGTTGCACGGGTGGACGTGTGGAAGTCCGAGAGCATCGCGGGCCTTCTGCGGGGGAAGCCGTCGTCCTTGAGCTTCTGGAACTTCTCGTTCCACTTCTTGGTCTCCGCGTAGCCCTGCTGCACGTAATCGTGGTTGGTCGGAAGCTGGGTGCAATCCAGCATGATGCTGCGCAGCCCCCTCACCTGCATGTCCAGGCTGAGCAGGAGCTTGCACGTGATGGCCAGAATCATCTGCGCATCTTTGCCCTGGAACCGCTTGTCCCCCAGGCCCAGGTCCACTGCCCGAACCTTCGGCGCGGGCCCCCCGACTGCGGCGGAATCGAGTCCCAGGTCCATCGTATGAAGGCAAATCGGGTGCGATAGCTGAAATGCTTGACAGGAAGGCTTCATAGACAGGGAGATTATGCATACCAGTGGGATTATGTGACCACGTACGTGCCAATGATATGACTGTATATCCGGCAGGACGCCGTCGCAAAACGGGCGGATTATGTCATGCACAGGCTGCGGTGACAAAGGTAAGATAGTTTGATCAACGACACACCGGCCATGCTTGTAGCTGGAAGCCGCGGGCGCACGCGAATTGAATGGAGAAAAACATCGTGGGCATTTGGTTCGTGACGACCAGGGAAGGAGCATGCACCACTATTCCGTGTGAGCCATCCGACCTAAGACGTCTGTGCGTGCGCACTGCAAGTGCCGTTGCAAACCGTTTTCCACATACGCTGCCGTCTGCCAGCAACCCCTCGCGAACGAACTCGCCCCCCCAGCATGGCGGCGCTCTGTGCGCGGGCGGGTGGGGACGACGGGGAAGGGGAGCAGGCAGGAGGAGGGACTGTTGCCTCCGATCTCTTTGGATCGTAACTGAGCAACGTCCACCTGGGTAGACATGTCGCGCAGCTCTGGATCAACGACGAGCTCGACTGGGGAGCCGGAGTGCGCCTCGGCCACCACGGACGCATCATCAAGCACTGAGAGCGCATCAGTATCGTTAACGAGCTGTCGGGCCCAATCGTGCGTTGCCCCGTCCCTGCAGTGCGAGAGCGGCTTGTCGGCCTCAAAACGACATGGCCGAACATTGCAGTAATCTATTGTTCGTGATGTTATGGATTTTTACACACGCGCTGAATAAGAACTTGGCCTCGAACATCTGTTTGGACCCGGGCAAATCCAATGTGTTTTAGCACGTCCTTGTGGGTGAGGGAGCGATAACGGAAAGATCCGTCCTCCTCCATCGTCTTGGTGCACGCGCTGCCCCCCATATTTTTCTCGCGAATCGGCACAGGCAGGATTCGAGAACTTCGTAATCGGTTTACCCAAGGCGGAAGCTGGAAGTCCTGTCACGAGCGTGCTGCAGACGATGGCCCGGAAGACAAGACGTTTGAACTGGTCAGGGCGCCAGAGACGGGGGCACAGCAAACGGGGGTACGGGGAACGCCGATTTCCACGTTTGGCTATGCCTCCGTTTAGGGGGCCCTGGGCGCCGTAAACGGGGGTACAGAAAACGGGAGGAAATGGAAAAGTCTAAGCCCCCGTTTAGCGAAACCCCCGTTTACAAAGCCCCGAACTGGAAGTTTACCCTTCAATGCCAACATCGGCGCAAAGCATAAAAGGCAGACGTGGCCGCTTGAACCTGACGTTCTATTTCCGTTGCGATTTGTCCCATCCAGTATAGGTGGGGCCCCAGGTACCGCGCAGTGCGCCTACGTCCCAAACTGTCGGCCTCGACCATGTTTCGCATGGTGTCCCGGGCCCCTCGCCAAACGGTCTGACCAACGATTCCCCCTCTCTCGGTGTTCTGAACCGCGGAGACTGCGTAAAGAGCCTCATCCAGGGAGTGTGAAGCGCGAGCAGCCCGAGGAAGAACGAGTCGTGCGTGCGTGCCACAGATGCGTGTACCTGTGTCGTCGACGAGCATTGTGTGCGCGACAGCTTCCACGTTACCAGAAGCAGGCGCTACTGCGTCCAAGCCTTGGCAACATGAGTATGAGCATGTTCTGTATGTGCGCACGCTGCTCCCAGACAGTGAGCGGCTTGAATAGGGAACACGTTCTTTTCAGAGGGGCTCCATCGTTCCCTACTCCATATTTCGTAATAAAAGGGAGGGGGTCTGGACCCTCCAAGACAAGCCATTTGAGACCTCCCCCGTGGGAGAACCCTCCAAAACATCGTCCCCAGACCCCCCCAGGCCCTCCAAGATAGCCTGGAAGAGACCCCCCCCGAAATGAGACTCCCCTCCATTTATTACGAAATCTGGAGTATGCGTTATTGGTTATTCATCGTTCCTGATGCGCTATTCCTTTGATTTATCGTTCCGTGGGTCGGGCCGATGACTGTACACTGGGTGAAAAGCCTTTGTCGCCAGAACGCTTCCCTGTGGCACACCACTGCCTAACTGTAGGAGCAGGAATCCATCGCTGGTGTGAAGTACACATACACTGCGCAGCACGTGTTGTAATATCAGTGTCTGGTCACTCGGCATGCACTCACGAACTACACTCACGAGCAGCATTGTGCGCAATGTTGGGGAACTTGTTCCGGTCATCGAACAAGTGGGGCATGGATGGTACATGTTGAATTGCACACCGTTGCCCTGCAATGCATTGTATGGCAATGGTTTCTTCCCTCGATCTGCTTGTGACTCCACCATAGGCGCAGACGCCAGGGGGTCGTGCGTTGTTCGGTTTCACGAGCCGGCCAGGTAGAACTTGGAAAGTGGGTCGTAAGAATGCACTGCGTACTTCTTCATAGATTTTGGTGCTGCCCATGTGGGAAACTGCACGCTTCAAGACCTGCATGCCCATGTTACAGCGTAGCTGTGTAGGGAGGAAAGCTGTTGCCCGAATGCAACGCATGAGGAGGACCATTCGCTGCCTGAACTTGTCTGGGGCACGGAACGAACCTTCGTGACCAATACCCCAAAGAGGCTTCCGTTGAAGAGCTTGTGGCCAGAAAACAAGACGCCATCAGTTGCCTGTTCCACCCCTCTCCGGTTCGTAGACTTACGCTCTGCCCGCGTGGTGCTCCGGAAGTCCAGTGCTGCTTGTGTTTTGTGTTCCTGGTATCGGTCAAGGTCGACATGGCGAAAGTCTGGTTCGAACGAATCGACGTCCATTGGCTCGAGGACGGTAGCCCTCCATCCACCTTGCGTGCCTGGCTTTGATAAGTGTTGCGTACATTGAGCTGCGGCCGGTCTCGAGGAGCAAGAGAGAGGGAGAGAGATGCTGGAGGAGGGTTGTCTTTCCCCAGAACTTGGGTGCTCGCGAGCGCGCGTGCCTGCAGGGGGCGCAACTGGTGCCTGGGCCGCAGCCCTTGCGCGTGCGGCATGGTCCCTTTCTCGGGCCTGACCCCGTGCTCGGAGGGCTCCTCCAAAGGTTTACGATGTTCCAACCTACTTTAGCCTTGATCGCCAGAAAGAACTTCGAGCACCAAAACAGTACCCCAAAACTCGAGGGTTTTTACGTGTCGGGCCCTGGGAGACACTGAATCGGCACGGTTTCGACACTCCTTCGACACTTTTTCTGGGATATGTTCGTATCGCTCCGCGTTCGCATGTTGGCATTGGGTATATGTCTCATGCTCCGGGCTTTTCGTTTTATTCGAATGAGACGTCTCGATTTTCCTCTTCGTGCTACTGCTCGTGCTACTGCTCGTGCACCGAATCCGTGACACATGCATTTGCCTTGATATGTGAGCCCAAGTTGTTTGTGTTGGGCCTGGCAGGCGGTGTGGAGAGTACATGTGGTGCGTCGCGGTCGTCCCCTTCCTCGTCCTCCTCCTTCTTCTCCCAAAATAGTCCGCTGGAAAAAAAACTGTTCTGGGTGCTCGAAATTATTTCTGGGATGTGGTCCTCAAGTACGATGGGAGTAACATGACCCAAGGTGTGGGGCGGCCGCGTCGCCTCCACGATACTCTTCGACGTGCGGGTCCACTGCAGTGACCTCGGCCCGTCGGTCCAAGCAGCCACCCAGCTGGCCGGGGTCGACCTAAACGGTGTTTTGGCGTTTTCGTGCGTCGTTTTCGTTTTGGCTTCGTTTTGCACTAAATCGGGAACTGGGACGTATACATTGCCAGTGGCGGGCTGTTTCTCACTCCCAGGACATTTTTGAAAATTGGGGACGGCGTCGGGGCGGTGTGGTGTATACTTGTCGTCCCGTTTCCCAGGAACCAGCGAACAATGTATACACCAGGGTCCCGTATACACGAGGATCCGCGTTCCTGTGCGAATTTCGGTGCAGGGCCGGAACAAGCGTCGGTGTATAGAGTTCGTTTCCCCACTAAAGGCGGATTGGAGACAAAGCGAGGGAGAACGAAAGCCAAACGGGAACGAACAACATTGTTTAGGTCGATCCTGGCCAGGTGTAACATCGCAGCTTCTCGCACGCACGTGCCGCTTGAGGCCGCCACCGTCTAGAGCACATCTCCTTCGGGCTCGCTTTCACCGTCCACCGCTGCTCGCACACGCCGACCCCCGTGCCCGCGCTGATCACCGCGCCGTAGCTGATGAACGTTGTTCTCAACTCTGCCCGCCGCAGCTTCCCGCACGCGCCGTCCCCAGTGCCGTACAAGGTCTCCGTCGGGCCCTTCCCTCGCCGAGCACAGCTCGCACGTACTGGTAACGACTCGTGCTGGAGCTGCCCACCGTCGGGCCCGTCTTCACGCACGGCTGCTCGCACGCGTTGCCGACCGCGCCGCAGCTGTGCGACGCCAGGCCCAACTTCGCCGCCCACGGCTCCTCGCACGCGCTGGCCCCTGTGCTGCAGCCGCAGCTGGTCACCGTCTGGCTCGTCTTTGCTGACCACCGCTTCTCGTACGCGTTGGCCTTGGTATAGTAGTTGCTCCTGTTTCGGATCTGCGTCACCTCGCACATCTCGCCGCAGCGCCTGCTGCCATCGCACGTCCTTCTCGCACTCGCCGGCCGCATTCTCTTGAGGCGGCCGCTCTTGAGGCTGCCGCCCTCTTGAGGCCGTCAATGTCCGCTCCTCTCGCGCGCACGGGCCCCTCTGTCTTCAAGTGGCCATTGCCCATCCTGTTGAGGCTTTCACTCGCCGTCCTTCTCGCACGCACTTGTCAGATCTTCTTGGAGCGGCCAATGCCCGCCCCTGCCCGCCCCTCTCGCACGCACTGGCGCCTCCCTGTCGATGCCGCCACTGCCCGCCGTGCTCGCGCGCGCGCCGAAGCGCTCCGTGCAGGTCCGCCTTCGCCTCGACCGGCGGGGCCTGGAGCCGTGCCCGTGCCTTCTCCTCTGGCAGCCGCCCGAGCTCGTTCACGAGCCTGCGGGTCGCGCTGTCGGCGCAGAGCTCCCGATCCTCCTTGGCGGCGGAGCCACTGCGGTGCGCTTCGTTCGCGCTCTCCCGCGCCTCCTCGTGCGCCCGGGAGCTGCTGCTGCGCGCCCCCCCCCGTCCCCAGTGGCCACGCTGCTGAGCCGCCTGTGAGGAGGAGGAGGAGGAAGGAGGGGTGGGAGGGGTATGGGGGAGAAAGAGGAGGGCGAGATGGAGCTAGAGGCGGAGGATCGATAGGAGGAAGAGTGGGATTATACATTTATATATATATATATATATATATATATATATCCGGATGATAGTAATGACGGCAGATGACGATGCTGACGGTGATTACGACGATGCTAACGTCGGCGACGGTGGTGTTGATTATGTTGGTGGTGCTTAAGACCATGATCATCATGACGATGCGACTGACGATGTCAATACTGTTGGCAGGATGGCGGTGGTGGTGATGATGGCTATGTTGAGAAGGAAAACGTAGGGAGATCGTTAATGATTCTGTAGGGGTAGGATGAGGGATGATGCATCAGGGAGGGGGCAGGAGGAAGATGTTGTTGATGATGCTGAATATTATGATGGCGGTGATGACGGCGGTGACACTGATGCTGATGCGGGTGGTCATTCTACTGACGATCACGGAGAGGATGATGGCGATGA